TCAATGTAAGGTAAAAACTGTAGTCTCATAATTGAAGTGTAAATTCTGCAGATTACATCATTGTCCAGTATTGTACTGTCAGCAATTTATTATAAAAATGTTTTCACAACTGTAACATACATATTTACATATGTAATTTTTCAGGTGCATGGGTAATAACTTGCGAAAACTTGAGGCTACAGCAGCACTTCTTCCTCGTCGTCTCATCTGATGCACTCAACTAAGCGTTCTTAACATGACCTCGCCCCTCCCCAGCCCCCAACCATTCGAATTTCGGGAATTATTTTAATGATATTCTAATGGGCCGCTTTGTGATATCACGAAACCCGGAAAACAAACGCTGTAGTCCAAACGAGCCGCTCGTTGTAGTTCTTGAAAAGGGATTTAAAAAAAATGAGACCCAGAGAATATTGAACAAGAGGATCGCGCAGAACCTTTTTACGCACAGATATTGCAAGACATATTAGAGTGGTAACGTTATTGTTGTTTTTGTTTTTTTGGCTAAATCACGTTTTAGATAGGATGTCAACAACCGCTTAAAAATAACTGCATTTACTATGTACAGATAAGTACATATGTATTATTTTTATTGTTATTTAATTCTGACATCATAACATGAATTGCAGTGAAACTGTTATACAGTTGAATTTATTTATTCCGTAGTCCAGTGTTTCCCAGGCAGCATATATATGCAAGCTCATTCTCTGCCAGCAGGAGGCGCTGTGGGGGTGGTAGAGGTCTAGGTTTCCCCGGTAACGGCTGTACACAAAGCAGCGATCTGCTCAAAAATACACTGCTTTATCAGACATTACATGCAAGATTAAATGAAAATGACATCCAATTTTCTGAAGACAGTTGGTTTCCTTCAGAAATACAGTGATATAAACACCCGCACTCAATGTAAGGTAAAAACTGTAGTCTCATAATTGAAGTGTAAATTCTGCAGATTACATCATTGTCCAGTATTGTACTGTCAGCAATTTATTATAAAAATGTTTTCATAACTGTAACATACATATTTACATATGTAATTTTTCAGGTGCATGGGTAATAACTTGCGAAAACTTGAGGCTACAGCAGCACTTCTTCCTCGTCGTCTCGTCTGATGCACTCAACTAAGCGTTCTTAACATGACCTCGCCCCTCCCCAGCCCCCAACCATTCGAATTTCGGGAATTATTTTAATGATATTCTAATGGATCACTTTATTACGGAAGTTCTAAGCGGCCATGCATTATTTTTTTTCCCCCTTCTTGTTTTCTCGTTATAACGACTTATTTTCTCGTTATATCGACATAACGAGAGTTGTTTTCTCGTTATAACGACTTATTTTATTGTTATATCGAGAAAAATCAATTTAAGACATAATAAAACAGACGATGAACACTATTAACACTACACACTGACTAAAATTCGAAAAGTGAAAAAGCATAATAGGACCCCTTTAAGACCCAGATCCAAGCTTACTGAGCAATAAAGCTATAGTGAGCCCTTTTATTAAAATACCTGGAGCCTAGGTAATACAAAACATGTTTGTAAATGGGCATTTGATTTACATTTGAGAGAAACTGAGAAGATTGTAAACAAAGATACAAACTAGCCACTTTTCACTGAAAATTGTTGTAAATTTAAAATAGGCCATCTGTGTAATTGAAGTAGATTCAATGAGTTGAAAACTCTTGCTACTTCATACTTCAATACAAAACAATGCTGAACTTTGACAAAAA